TGAATGAAGAAAAATACCAGTCTTCGAGAGCAGTGGCAAGAACAGCATCCTTCCTTCTAGCCCACCTGCAAACAGCCTCTCAGCAAACCCTGCAACAGCGCTTGGCGTTGCAGCTTCATGAGTCGGTAGCATCCCTGTACACTTCACATTAAAACCTTATTTGCTACAGTTCCATTCACCTGTGGTAACCACCAGTGACTTGAGTTTGGATAAAATATGGGTGTAGCAACTCTGAGCGTACAACTCCCACATTGTCTGTCATTTTAAGGAAGGTGGTCAGTGGAGATGAGAAGCAAATGACTTGTGGTTTGATCAGCTACATTTTGGTGGCTCACCAGATTATCATTGCCAGCCAGTGGAATTGGATAAGGAGTTTGCAGAAGTCATTGCTTTGCAAATGGGCGATGTAGGTGTTCTGCACTTGAGAAGTCAACTTCTGAGTGACTTGCTAGGGGCTGTTTTGGTGCATGGTAGCAGAATTACTGCTCAAGAACTGTTTTTGTTTTAACAAGAAAGTAATTGAACTGACTACAGCCCCTTTGAAGTCTTTACAGTAAGCAAAGATTCTGATTAATTTAGCAGCAGGGCATCAGTGGCTATTAACAGCTTAACACGAGGCCCTGGTAGATTGATAAGGAGCTAAACAGTCCCTGAATCACATATTAACAATCTGGCCATACTATAAGTGAGGCTCATGTTGGGTAATTGTCAGCATGGTTAATAGTCAACACAACATCAGTAGCTATTTGTGTTTTAAATGGGCACTTAAATTATTCAGAATAATAGTTGATAGTCATCAGTATGTCTGAGCCACAGTCCAGTTATTCTAGGCATGGATGACAAGCTTTAATTTAGCTAGCTTAATTACAGCACTGGGCACTGCGTGGGCAAACTCACCTGTGTCTATAAGGAATTTCTCAGGTGGGGTCTCCAGCCCATGATGAGATTCATCTTCTGTGGCCCAAGCATTAGTGGTGCATGAATAAACCAGGATGCAGCTAGCTTGGGTGGGATAACCAAACCAACAGCCAGGCAAACGTTTCACCTAGCATCTGAGCCACTCAAGTTACATGTAGTTTTACCTCCCCAGGCCAAGAGAGAAGGTAAAACCTGCAATGCTAACCAGTAGCCTTATTTTTATTTATTTATTTTCTTAAGTCTGCTGTGGTTGCAGAAGATTTGAGCAATTCCCCTGGGAATTTAATGTCCTTAACTAGTTTTGTATGTTATGGGACGTTCTAGCCCAATAAGAGTGACAGTTTATGAACCATTAAATGTGCAGAAGGAGTCGGTAACCACGCGGTTGCTCCTCCAGTTCCTTCTTGTTGTAGCATTAGCAATTCTGAGCTAGTCACACAGTGGGACATAGCTCAAATTAATTAGCTAAATTGCTACCTAATGGCAATGAGATTTGATGCCACTTAATATTTCAGTGCAAACATGGCAGGCAGGTTAACGTATTTAAATACGATTGGCTTGCCTTTTCTAGTGGAGTATCTGAGCTCCTGTTTGGGCCGTCTGCAGCATTCATTGTGCTCAATTAATTCTGCCATTAGCAGTGGTCGAATCTGCTATTAGCTCTGATAAAATGTACAGTCATCTCCATAGCCCTCTCCTTCACTGATGACCATCCTGTGGGAAGGATGCTGAAATGCAATTTAAAGGGGGAGGGAGGCAGTACACACACACTATGCTTTGTACATAATTAAGTTACATTAATGATGGGAGACTTAATTACAATTTGGAGTTTACCAGCAGAAAGGTCCAACGGTAGCTTGCAGCGTGCAATGGTGTTGGGCTGTGCACAGTAGTCGAGCAGTTGTTTCAGGCTGTGGAAGGGCTCAGGGTGGAAGGTGCTGATTATTCTTGGCGTCCCATGCCTGAGAAAAGTCACCGAGTTTGCTTACGCGCCTCTTGGTTTTCTTTTCTTTCCCCCTTCCTTTCCGCCCGCCCTCTCCTCCCACCCCCCCTTGTGAAGCAACCCTTCTGGCTTTGTTGTAAGTGTGGTTTGTAATCATTGTACACATCCCAGATGGTTCATGAAAACTCTTTGAAATGCCATCTGCCAGGCGTGTGTCCAGCCGGCAGCCTGTCATTCTGCTACAAGAAAAACGGAGGCGGGTTTTCCCTTCCCCCTGCCTTTCTGAATTGCATTCAGTAACACTTGCTCAGATGTGAAGCAGGATAACAGCCGGAGCATCTGCAAGAAATCTTTGCTCTAGACAGCAACACGGAAAGTTGTTGGGTTTTTCGCCTTTGCCCAGATAAGATATCCTAACCAGTGTAGTTTTTATTTTCCCTCTGTTTGTTGCTGGAGACTGACGCGAGGTGACAAATGTTATCTTTGTGATGTAATGTTTTTCTTTTACGCGGCGACTTGGCGTTTCTAATGCATTCAGAGTGTGTTGCAGGCAGTCGCGCTGATAGCAAGCACATCTGCGATTTTTCGACTTGAACATATTCAGGAAATTAAGAACACTGAGATGAAACAAATAGATCCATTAAAATGGCTCAGAGGAATTATGGCAGAGATATAATTGTCATGTCAAATAGGCAGCCAGCACTAGTAAACTGCTGACTGCAATTTCACTGCTATAAAAATTCAGAAGGAAAAAAAATTATTAATAAATGCCCTCTGTGGGAAGATATAGATAAAGAAAAGAAGGCGGCTTTAGAAGATAAAGTAAAATGAATCCTGAAGTTCCCTGATCTTCGTGTCTCATGAATGCAGGTTGTCAGTTACTGGGAGAAAGTATGTCCCGATCTTGGTCATTCGGCTCGCGTGCCGCATGGCTGAGGGTGACGTTTGACTGATGCATTGGATGAGGAGCGCTACAGAGTCTTAATTCTCTCTTCCATTGTGCTCGAGGCATGGGACAGCTCCAGCGCAGCCTTGGACATACTTATTGCTGAAGCTTTTCATTCTGCCCCCTTACCTCTTGTGGGCCTGGTTTAGGGGAACCTGGCGGGGCTCAAGAGCCACAGTGCCCTGGTGAGGGTCCTCACAGCCTGAACATCCACAGCGATGTTGGTGCTCAGGGAGGACGTGCTGCGTCCAAGCTGTGCCCCTTCATCCTGGGTGCCTGCATGCTCCCTGCATACCAGGGAGGGAGCTGCGTGGCTATTGCCTGCTCAGCCTCGCGGCCAGCCTTTAGATGGAAACGCAGGCACTCGGGCAGAGAGAGGCATGTGGTGCAGTTCCAGTATTTCTTTGGTCTAGATCTGTGAAAGACATCTGTCCTCTGTTACAAACTACTTGGTAAAAGTCATTGTAGTTTTACTGTAAGGACTCAAGAATACAAAACTGAATCTTTTCAAATAGGAAAGAGTAATTCTGCTATTAGGGTGAAGATATCCATCATCATTTCCATCCCTTTTTTTGCTTTTCCTCCTGCTGTCACCCATTCGCACAGCTCCAAGAGAAGGAATGATAGAAAAAGCACAGGAATTTATAGACTGACTATCTGAAGGCTGATGGTAAATAATAAAAAAACAGAGAAAGTTTCTGTTTTGAAGCAAGAAGTGGAGGATGTTAGAGAAAGTGGATGTCTATCAGGGAAATTAATCTAGTGATAGTCATTCAAGGGTGTCACTCTGTCAAGACTGACCTCTTGAGCAGTCTCTCAGATGAATAGGGCATAAACCGACTTTCTGCTTCCCTGGCACTTGAGGAAAACATTTGCCAGGTGCAGGCATGGGGAATTTATGCTCTTTCAACTTCTGAGAGCTGGAATCTTCCCAGTTAGTTTCCAGAAGCCCAGCTTCTTTATACTTTCTTCAGTCCTTTTATAGAGGGTTTAAGAAATTGTATGCACTAAGAAGGGCACTGCCCAGGGGCTGGAAGAGTCCCACAGAAGTGAGAAATCATACTTCATTAAATGTTAGGTATGGTTTCCACATCTCTAAAGTTATTCCCAAACCAGCAGATTGGTTGCAGCCACAGCACTCAGACACCTCCAACTCTCTCAACGCTGCTCACTCTTCTAAAGTTCAGTATCCTGTACCATCTGTAAATCTGTCATTTATATTTAATCTCAGATGTACAGAATCCAGCCATGTCCTAGCCTCTGGAATCACGGAAAATAAAGGCTATTGAATGGAAATTGATCCTAATCAATTAAGCTGTGCCCAGTGACCTAAAATGCAGTGGCCCAAGCCACTTTCTTAGCAAAAAGTCATGAAATGACTCATCTTACACCATGCTTCAAAGGGCTGTAAATTGGTCAGAAGGGAGAAGGGTTTCAGAGCTGGCAGAATAGCAGTGATCAGAGCCCCATTCTCCATGGGTACTATTTAAATTGTCGAGTGCTAGAGAGAGATTCAGTGTGAATTATTACTAAAAAGAAAAAGTATTTCTTGAACTGAAATGAGCTTATAGGTGAACTTCTGTGAGAAGAGTTTGCAGGTTGTCTCTTTAGTGAGCATGTGTGAACGGTGCATCAAAACTATCTTACGGTACTTTTTAATGCTGAATAAAAATAATAGCATAAATAGAGATAAAATATTAAGAAGAAATAAGAGAGAAAAAATCTTTGATGTGAAAGAATATTTGGTGAGATAAAGGGATACAGAAATAATGGAAGCTAGAAAGAAGTTGCCTTATCTGAGAATACAGATTGCAATTTTAGTGAAGTTGAAGTATGAGAGATTGTGTTAATGGCAGGAAGGTAATTGCTGGCATATTCCCAGATGCCAAACTCTTCCAGCTGTGTTTCTGCATGTGAGATGAGAGATTTCTTTGCCAGAGAGTCTTTCTGGGAATATCAAAAACATTGTTGTTGGGTGGAACAACTGGTACCGCCAGCTCAACCTGTGATCTATGTCTTGTCTTGTTTTTATGTGGACTCCTAACTTCTAGCTGGACTCTTGACACTGCTCTCTGTGTAGCTCACCGAATTGCATTTTACAGATACTGTTGCATCTTTATGAACATTGTTTATTGTCCCTTTTAACTCTTGATAAGGAAACAACTATATTAACATGCTAATTTTTCCTTTCAGGCACAACCCGCCCTCCAAGAGAAGGAGAAGTGCCTGGTGTGGACTATAACTTTCTGACTGTGGAAGAGTTTCTGGAGTTGGAGCGAAGTGGGACCCTTCTGGAAGTAGGAACTTACGAAGGTATGGAGCCACAGGCAGTGAAAAAGCACTTCAAATAACCGTGGTAGGACACCAGACTTGCAACACCCTTGCTTCTGTTAACCAGATCAAGTTAGGACCTCACTTTGCATCCTAGTGCTCTACTTCCCTTTTCTCTATGTACCCCGAGAGAGGGAATTCTGACATTGCTGTGCTTTTGTCTTTTCCCTTCAAGTTAACTACCTCAAAAGATTAGTATCAGTAGGCCAGGAAAATCCAGTATGAGGTCCAGTACCAGAATACTGAGGGAAGACAGCGTGGCAGTGAATGAAAATGCATCTTTTCTTTGTGTCCACTGTAGCCCATCTTGTTTGCTTTTTCTTCCCTCCTGCTGTCTCTCTTT